ACCCTACACTTGGTAGTGCTACCCACTTTCGCCAGCAGAGAACCCGGGCATTGTGATGCTGGTAGGCATCCTTCATGAGTTAAGTGGGTTCCCACCTTCTAGGGGCACACTTCGTCTTCGATACAGCCTTCTCGAGAAACTTTAGCCTCCTGGAGAGCCAGCGAGAGTTTGTACAGCGATTCCGAGAACAGGCCAGCTCACCACAGGCCTTGCCCGTGCTGGCTTCTGCCTGCCCAGGTATGCTCATGGCCTCACAAATGGCATGAGGTTCACGTGAAAACTTCACATGATGTTGACAGCTCAGGGTGGGTTCTGGGAGTGATGGGTCAGACAGTGTGGGCTATAATGTTAGCACAAAGTGGCCTCTTTACCTCTGGTCACTCCAGCTCCCTAGAGGGTAAGCACCTGCATGCAGACAAGACAGGAGCCTGTCTCAAGAACCATCCTGCTCTCTTGTGCAAGTGGGTCTAACCCCAGACCATCATATCATTGCTAAACTGGGAGAGGCACTCTGCCCCCTACCAAGTCCCACATGCCCTATCACCTCAGGCTGGATCTGCTACGCTGAGAAGACCCACAGCAGCTTCATCATTCCCTACCTCAGCACGGCCCGGTCCCCACAGCAGGTCATGGGCTCCCTGGTCAAAGACTTCCTCGCCCAGCAACAGGTAATAGCATCAGACACAGGCAGTATGTCAGAGAGTAGCTGGTGGTGGGCACACAGCCCCACTGCAAGGCTGCAGTCCCTAGCCATCGGCCACACCTCTGCCTACAGAGCCAGCACAGCTGGCCTCCTGATACCAAGATCCCCCTTTCTCTCTTCTGTTTAGTCACTAGAGGGCTGAGTTCTGATATGAAGGTGCTGGTCACTCACCTAGGGGTGGCCAGGCCTGATGATCAGGAAGTGGGAAGCCATGGTCAGGAGACAGGAGCCAACCCTAGAGCCACTGGTAAATGTGTACCCAACACAGCCCCCTCCCCAGGCCCAACACAGTCATTGACACAGCCACCCAACCAGTATGGGGTGGAAAGGAGGTGGCCCTGGTAGTGGCTGCAGGCCAGGTACACTGATGTTGGTCTGCATCAGCTTCCTTCCATCTCGATGTGATCAACTTCCCACACACATGCCTTGTGCTTTCCTGCTTGACCAGTAGTGATGTTCACCATGGAGCACTTTCTCCTGTGTTAGGGAGCACAGACATGCTATGGATGGGTCAGTGTCATTCTCCTGGATGAGCTGGGACCTGTGGAGTCCATGACAAGTGTGCAGAATCATCAGGGAAGGTGCTGGGAATGCCCTGAGGATTACAGTCATGCACTGGCTGTTGGATGGTGGCCATGCCTGTGCCATGACCTCCTGTGTCTCCTGTCAGCTGCAGGCCTCTTTGGCTCAGAGCCAGGAGTGATGGTGTCTCTGCTTCTCCATGTAGCACCTGACCCCTGACAAGATTTACCACGTGACAGTGATGCCCTGCTATGACAAGAAGCTAGAAGCATCCAGACCCGACTTTTTTAACCAGGAGTACCAGACACGTGATGTGGACTGCGTCCTCACAACAGGTGTAGCTATACCACATTGCCCTAAGCCTGCAAACCTCCTGATCCACCACCCAAGGCCCAGGCACAAATGATGTTTGCCTGGGGTCCTACCCATGTGGAGCCCAGGGAGGTGAACCTTCTGGTCTCTCCCTTGGAGCCAAGTCAGGCCACTGGCAGCTGACCTGTCTTTGAGACCTACAGCTGGATAGGGCCCAGCTTGTACTTCCTTGTTTGCTTTGAAATGAGTCTAAGGAGAGATGCCTGAACGTTCTCCATCCAGCCCCTTTGGTTCATGTGGCCACCCCATTCCTGAGTTGAATAGCCTCCCAAATACTTATAAGACAGGAAATTAACCTGATATGGAGGTGCACGCCTACAGCCACAGCTACCATGGAGGACAATGCAGGAGGATAGCTTGAGAATAGGAGTTGGAAACTGCAGTGAGCTGTGATTGCACTCCTGCACTCCTGCACTCCAGCCTAGGTGACAGACTCTGTGTCTCAAAAAAAAAAAAAAAAAAAAAAGTAAGCTACCCGGGAGGCTGCACAGATGGAGCACTGAAGGAATATGGCAGCCTTGGTGTATGATCGTGTTACCTGTTACCCCAGGGCGGGACCAAGGCAGCCCTCCCAAGGGGCTTCACAAGTGGAGTCTTTCTTCACCCTTGTGGCTGGGTCCATCCTCCTACCTACATGCCAGGGAGTGGGTCTTTGGGGCCAAATTGCAGCCTGCTAGGGATGCAGACAACTTGGGGTGTTTTGTTTTTATTGAAGAGCACACTAAGGAATGTGCTGTGGTTTCGGTTTCATTGCAGGAGAAGTTTTCAAGTTGCTGGAAGAAGAAGGCATCTTGCTGTCAGAACTGGAGCCAGCCCTTCTGGATGGCCTGTAAGTCGCAGGGAGCTGTTGGGCCCCAAGAGCCTTCATTCTGGCTTCAAACCACCTTCTGGTTGATTCCATCTGTCTCCCATGGCCTGTCTTGGTGTCCACAAAAGTGGCCCATGGACAGTTCTGAGCTTTATGGGGGCCTGAGCACCCAGGATACAATGGCAGGACATCTGTGTCTCAGACACACTGATGGATCCCAGGGATATGACAAGCTGGTCTTTTTGTCTGTGACTTGTTTTCTACTTAGAAAAGCAAATGCACTCACAAGTGAGAGACAGAGGCTCTGTTGCCCTGAAGCCTCTGGGCAGCAGGCCTGTGGCTGTGCTGAGGCCCTGCCCTTCTTGGCCAGGTCCAGCAGTGTGTCTGCAGAGGAGCCCACCAGCCATCGGGGTGGGGGCTCCGGCGGCTACCTGGAGCACGTGTTCCGGCACGCAGCTAGAGAACTCTTTGGAATCCACGTGGCTGAAGTCACCTATAGACCCCTTAGGTCAGTGGATGGGCCAGAGTGTCAGGGCAGGGGAGCCACAAGATCCCAGTGTTTTCTTAGGCCACTGCCCTGGCCCTGGGCCCTCTTACTGAGGTGGGCTCTGTGTCGGGTGGCATCCAGGGCTTGGGAGCACACCCTGGGGGCTGGGCACAGAGGGCCCTCTTCACTGGCTTGGCAGTGTCAATGGTCAAAGCACCCAGGCCTGAGTCTGCATCTGCCTAGTGAAGAAGAGACAGTGACCCTGAGCTCAAGAGGCCTTTGCAGGCAAGGGTGGGTGAGGTGCCTGGCACAGGGTGCACACTGTGATGCTACATCCCGAGAGGGAAGGCTAGGGTATGTAGTCACCCTTGGGAAGGAAGGATTCCCATTTTATGGATAGGGAAACTGAGGCTGGAAGCAAGAGCCCCTGCTGGACTGGAGGAAGTGAGTTTTCTGCTCTCCTCTCCTCTCCCCACCCTTCTCCCCATCACAGATTGAGAACTGAGGTGGAGAGGACACAGGTATCTGGGTTTCCCTCTGGTGGGCAGCAACCTATGAGTGCGCTGAATAGTGAGCCTAGTCTGTGCCTCACAGGAACAAAGACTTCCAGGAGGTGACCCTTGAGCAGGGGGGTCAGGTGCTGCTGCGCTTTGCTGCGGTGTATGGTTTCCGCAACATCCAGAATCTGGTGCAGAAGCTCAAGCGGGGGCGCTGCCCCTACCACTACGTGGAGGTCATGGCCTGCCCTGCAGGTAGTGCCCCCACAGGCTTTGGGTGGCCCCTCGGACCAGGCTGCAGGCAGCCTCTGCCTGGCGGGAGGGGGAAGAAGTGGGCATCAGAAGGCCCTGCCCTCCCTGCACCCAGGCAGCTAGAGGCATGGGTGGGCATGTACTGTGACTATGCATCCTGTCATCCTGTCACAGGCTGCCTGAACGGTGGAGGCCAACTCAAGGCCCTGGACACGCCCAGCAGGGAGCTGCTCCAGCATGTTGAAAGGCTGTACAGCATGGTCAGGACGGAGGCTCCTGAAGATGTGCCTGGGGTCTGGGAGCTATACCAGCAATGGCTGCAGGGCGAGGCCTCAGAGCGGGCCAGCCACCTGCTGCACACACAGTACCACGCTGTGGAGAAAGCCAGCTCTGGCCTCAGCATCCGGTGGTAAAAGGCCTTGAGGGTCCTCAGAGCTCCATCTGCAGCCTAGGAAGGCTCATGGGGTGCCTAGTAGCAAAGTCACTGCTGCTTGGGGGCCCCAGAGCCATTCCCCAAAATTTGGAGTGATTTGCAGGATGTGCTGGACCACATGGGGGTAGGAAGCTGGCTATACCCAGTGGTCGCTACCACCACCAGCCAAGCTCCTCTAGGGCTCCCTGCAGGATCTGCTAGTGTGGAGTAGGGTGACCAAGGAGGCTGAAGGTTCTGTGAAGTTCCAGAACCTCTTCCAGCAGCCCAGGGCCAAGTCCCACTACACTGCCCCTGACTTCTGGCTTGTGGTGACCCAAGTGTGTAGAGCCCTAGCCAGCTCTGGGCATCTGAGGCAGAGCAGAGAGGGCTCCTTGTGCCTGACTTCTAGTCACCCCCAAAGCTGCAGTACAGAGGGTGGGAAATGGGGCTGGACCTGCTGAGGTAACCTTGCATAGGAACTGTCTGACAGGAAGGGATGCTCAGTTCCCCCAAAGCAAACTTTACTGCTATAAAGCTGTGGTCCCACTGCAAACTGTGTGTGAGGCAGCGGGGATGGAGGTGGGGTGGGGTGTCAGCTATTGCCAGGTTTTTCCACTGAGTCTTCCCCTGGCTGGGTTCCCATCAGGCCTGTCTTCCACAGAGCTCCACCTCTAATAAAGGAACCCCTCCTCAGACATACTGAGCACCTCTGAACACAGCTCTTTCTGAGCACCCGCCAGCATGGAGAAAGGCTTTCTTTCTTTCTTTCTTTTTTTTTTTTTTTTTTAATTAAATGGAGAAAGGCTTTCTAAGCTTTATTCACAGCTCACCCTGAGACTACTTTCTGGACACCACCCGGGCCTCACGACCCACATGGGTCCCCTGCAAAGAGACCCTGCTTGTCCACTCCCAGAAGTGCCAGAGGCAAAGCCCCTGCGTGCTGGCCCTCAAGGCTGAGCTGCCAGCTGGTCAGAGCCTTAATGTTCCAGAGGCAGCCCTCTCAGAGGTCCAGTCAGCTAGGGGTCACAGGAGGGATATAGATGGACATTGGCCCCCTAAGGCTCCATATGTGGCTCACTTCTGCTGGGCTGTGCGTAAGAGTCCCCACTGCAGTGCAGGGAGACCCTGTGCCTGTGGCCACAGTGGCTCAGCTGCCCACTCATAGTGCTCCCGCTCCCTGCAGAGAGCCTTCAGGACTTCGGCCAGGGCCACCTTGCCTGTGAGCTTTTGCACTGGCTCCTCTCTGCAGGGGAGTAGGTGCAGTAGGGGTTCACTGTTGATCACTGTCCATGCCAGGGAAGATGGAGCCTCAGATGGAAAGCACCTAGTGAGTTGCTTTCCCCAGTACCCAGGACACTCAGCCCAATTTTAAATGATCCCCAAACACCTTCCTGGGTATACAAATGGCTGCCAAGGAGGCCTCAGGGAGACACTACGAGAGGGCATAGGGCCTCCCAAGGCTCAGGTCCCACCCTAGGAAGGCCCAGGGACAATAGCCACACTCACGCCACCCTGAGGAAAGGGTTGTAGAGCAGCTCCTCACCCAGAATGGATGGTACTATGGGCACATTATCTTCATCCCTTTTCTGGAATGACCACAGGCCTTTGTCACAACTAGGTCTTGTCTGACAGCCCCAGGCAACTTGGCTCTGGTCAGTGGAGGCCAGTCATGGCTAGCACCCTTCCTGGGTCTTGACATTCAAACCCCAGGAAGATGCCTGTTGTCCCCTACCTTCCCATTAAGAAGGGGAAGCATGGGTGAACCTTGGTCCAACACAGCTTGGCTCTCATCATTGCAGGGCTCCACTTTCTGTGCAAACTCAAGATTGCTCAGTGTGTGCTCATGGCCACAGAATACCTTCTGGAGGAGGCAAGTTCTCAGTGTGTGTGCAGTATAGCCCAGGCAGAGATGTGGGAAGGTACCCACACCAGCTCTGGCCCCTGCCTCGGTCCACCTCAACTATTCACTCATCCTGCACCCCCAGTTCAGGACAGGTGCAGAGTGCACTGCGCACAAAGCAGGAACTGGACCCTCACCATCTTGGGGGCAGGGTGCCCAGGGTCTCAGCCAGGCTCTGGTACGTCTGCAGAGTGGTGCCCTCCAGGCACCAGCCACACCCAGCCACCAACAATGTGTCCCCTGGGAGAGGAAGGTTGGTCAGAGAAGAGGAGGCACGGCCAGAGGGAGATAGGGTGGGTGAGCCCTGGACTGTGGTTACCTGAGAAAAGGGCAGGTGGGTCCAGGCATTCTTCCTCCCACAGGAAGTAGCTCATGTGGCTGAAGGTGTGACCAGGCGTCAGGAGGCAGCACACGTGGATGGCCCCAAACTGTGTGGAGGGACAGGCAGACCTGTGAGGCTGGGTGGGCCCAGGCGACTGACCTGACCCTTCCAGGGATGTCCACTCACCTGCAGCTCCTGCTCATGCACTAGCCTGCGTGTCAGTGCACAAATGCGTTTATCGGCCCTCATCACTGCCAGACCCAGCTGCAGCCATGCCAGCTCCACGTTTCCCCGCATGTGTGGTCCCTAAGATGGGCGGGAGCAGAGTCACATCTGGGTGGGTTGGGAATGGTGTCCTCGAGCCTTGGCATCACGCATGCACTCACCAGTGGTGGTGGGTGGTCAACACAGTGGTCAGAGACACCCCTTCCCAGCCCATGATCTCTAGCAGCTAAAAGGGCCAGGGAGTTATGATGACATAGACGATCCGGGTGGCCATCCCCCATACCGGGATGCCCCAGGCAGGCCTGGAAAGTGCCGGTGGTGGGGAGCAGGGATTCAGCCAACAATTACTGAGCACCCAGCGCATGCAGGGACAGTAAGACACCTGAGGATGGCGGCCCTCATTTCAGGGAGACCTAGGATAACTGAGGAACCCTAAACACCAATAATGACCAGAGATCAGAAAATAGGGGACAAGTCTGGTCCTGCCAGGGTGATTGGGGAGACTCTCCGAGGCCAGACTGTATGGTTGTGGCCCAAGACTGCCTAGGCCAGCAGTGGCGCTCCTGCTGCCCACAGTGTGCCCTCATCCTCTTGGGTACAGCCACATCCACTGCCACTGCCTCCTGTCTGCGTTGTTGATGATCAGTAGTTGTCCTCAAGCACCGGGATGATTTTGACCTTCATGGTCGCATAACTCGGCCACCCGTCTAGACTACTGGACCCCTTCTTCGGGGCCAACGCTCTGCTCTCCTCACCGTAGGAAAGACTATGCGAGGAAGGGTCAGTTCCCACATACGCTGAGGGCCCGAAGAGCCCTGCTCCCTGCTCTAGGAACTTCTCGGACCACTGTGTGGAATTCCACGCTGTAGGATTGAACCTGCCGCTGGTGCTTGGCCGGGCCCTTCTTACAGCCCCGCCCCTGCCATCCCTACCCCGCCCCTTCCGCAGCCCAGCTTCGGCGCTGTCCACGCACCAAGGCCTGGCTCCCTGAAGCCCAGCCCCAACAAGCCCCACCCCCAGGACTCTGCGCTTTCTCCCCAGACCCGCCTGCCCCTGCAGCTCCGCCCCCCGTTCAAGCCGCAGCAGGCTACGCCTTCCCCGGCCCCGCCCCACCCCAGCCAGGCCCGGCTACGGGCGCTGCCCCGCGTCCATTCACCAGCACTGCTGTGCCAACCGCCTGAAGTACGGACGGGCGGAGGCGGGCCTCGCGCCGCAGATCATTGAGGCTACTCTGAGCGCGGCGCTAGAACCAACGGCCCCGCCCGTCCAGAACCTGCGCGCAGCTGCACCTGACGCGTAGCCGAGGGTGCACCGTGTGCACCGAGGACGTGCGCGTGCCTGATGGGGTACTGCGCGCACATTCGACCCTGCAGTGCCGGGAGCTGGGGCACCTCCTCTGGGAAGCCCTCCTAGGATCCGCTGACCTAGTCGTGCCCTTATTCCACGTGCCCTCATAGGGCCTCTGCATTCACCCTTCTCAGGATGCGGGTGGGGCGACTTGTCCATTCTGCTCACCTGCCAATCTCGGGCCTCAACCAGCGCCAGGAGGAACATAGAAGGCATCAAATAGGTGTGCAAATCCACATGGTAGGGGAGGGCATTCTGTGTAGGACAACAGTGACAGCAGCTGCAGCTCCATTCGCATGGGTTGTCCCATCCCACCCCCGGCTGGGCACTGTGAAGTATCCCTGGCTCCATCTGCACCAGGATTAGTGCGGGAGTGTAGGGGGGTGCGCTGTGCATTTCCCAGACGAGGAGATAGGGGCAGAGAAAAGATGGGCCACCATACATGGAAAGAGATGAGCTTCCCCCCACCTCCACAACCACTGAACTGCCCTGCCCATGTGGGTGAGGTCCTAGGAGTCTCCTGGGATCCACAGAGTCCTTGGCAACAACACAAACCACCAGGGCCTGTCACGGCAACAGCCACCAGGGAGTCTGGGATTCCTTTTGCTATGGAGCATGCAGCGTCCACAGCCCCCAGGCCAGGGGCTCCACATCAGGCCATTGAGAATGTGAGTTTCCCAAGTTGCTGATGCTCCTGCCAATGGAGTCAGGGGTCTTCCCTGTCTCCAGAGGCCAGCAGGGGTGCAGGCCCCTGCATCGTATGTCTGACCCTGGCCAGGGGAGGGGCCCAAAAGGCGGGTGGAGGGCTTGTGACTCCATGGGTATGAGGTCACAGCCCAGAACTGGGGCCCACCTGGGGCATCCTCAGGTTGTGCTCCAACCTGAGAACTGGCAGCAAGGAGTTCCTAGGGGCCTCCCAGCATGGGCCACCAGCCTTGAGACAGAGCTTATGTCAGATCTTGAGCTGAGTGAGGAGCAGCGGCTGCAGGTGGGTGTGGGTTCCCAGTATTGGGGGGGGGCGCCTAGGACATCACCCACAGACATCACCTGTTACCCTGGCCACCCACAGATCTCCAAAGAGCTGGTTGACATTCAGATCACAACCCATCGCCTACAAGAACAGCACGAGGCTGAAATCTTCCAGCTGAAGAGTGAGGTGAGCAGTCACATGGGCCCACCTCTGTGCATGGAGGGCAGAGGGGTGCATAATTAGGACATGTGCTGTACATGAGACTGTACACACACTTAGCTTTTGTGTGTTTCAGCCTGCCCCACGTGTGCTGGCAGACAGATGTACCTGCTCATGCTGGTTGTCCCACAGGTCCTTTGGCTAGAAAACCGGGTGCTAGAGCTGGAGCTGCATGGAGATCATGCCAGCAAGGCGCATGCACCCCCAGCAGAGGCTGACCTAGGGCACCACCAAGCACCAGCCCAAGAGCTCAAGCACAAAGCCCAGAGCCCTAGATGTGCCAACCACCACAGATTCCAGGTCACCATTAGCACATGGAAGGCATAGCTAGGTGGGGCCAGTGATGCACAGTGAGACTGGGATCCACTCCTCCAGCCCTCAGCCCTCCCTTTTTACCCCTGAGAATGAGCAGCAGAAGCTGAGGACAGTGTGAGCATGTAGCCCCTGAGCCCAGGGTGAGGATGGGGCAGCAGAGGGGACCCAGAGCTTGAGGTCTCATCCAGTCAGCCCTGCAGTGTCCAATCCACTTCTCCCTACAGTTTCAGAGAAACAAGGAGCAGCTGCAGGGAGAAGTGGATTGGGCACTGGGGCATCACAAGGCCCGGCAGCAGGTGCTGGAGTCACATGTGTGAGTAATGGCCTCACTTACAGCATGGAGGGCCCAACAGGGTGCAGTGCTTGGAGTAGCTGTTCCCAAGAGGCAGAGGGAATCCTTCCTGTGGATCTGGCTAAGCCACACCCCCATGTTTGCAGGGCAGCCCTGAGCTGGCAGCTGCAGCAAGCCCAAGATGAGGCCAGGGCAGCTGGACAGAGACTAGCTGCACAGGCTGTGGTGAGGCCCTACCCTACCCACTTCAAGATCTGGCATCTGGCAAGCAGGGACCCGACAAACTCAGTAAAGGTTCACTCCTCAGAACATAGATTGAGGGCCTCCTCTGCCCCAGGTGCTGTCTACCTGCCAGGGCCAGCTTCGCCAAGTTGAGGCTGAGAACTCCCGGCTGCAGCTGCAGCTCAAACAGCTGAACAAGGAGTACGCCTTCCGGCTGCAGCACTGTGCTAGAAAGATGGTGGTGAGCACTGGTGGGGTAGCCTGTGGTGGGTGGGCAGGAGGCCTCTGAGTCTTAAGAAGCCCATGCCTGACCTTGTTTGCTGGACCGCTTTAGAGGGACTCCATGGGCCTGGATGCCTCATTGCCTGGCCTGCTCAGGTGGGGCTGGGGGTCAAAGGGTGGTTCAGAATGTATGGGGGATGTGCCCAAACAAGGACTGCCCTGCCCAATCCCCTGCCGGCCTCTCTCCTGCCCTGGCCCTGCTCTGCTCAGACCAGGCCCCACCCAGCTCCGCCCCCACACCACCCATTCTAGGAGTATGCCAATGGTGCAGGCCAGGCACCTGTACGCACAGCCCTTCGGACATTCCTGGAGGCCACTCTGGAAGACATTAGGGCAGCACACCACAGCCGTGAGCAACAGCTGGCCCGGGCTGCTCGCACCTACCGCAAGCAGCTAGCAGATCTGAACCATAGGCAAGAGGAACTGCTGACCCCCCACAGGTGGGCCCTGCCTTGACATGGGCACCTGGGGTAGGGTGGCTCTATGTGACCCAGAGTATGGCATAGTGGGCAGCAGAAGCAGTCCCACACACTGTGAACTCTTGACGGGGCATCTAGGGCACCTTTGATGTAGCCACCTCAGGTCCCAAGTCACTGTCACTGCCCCTGGTCACCATGCTCAGCCACCTGTGGGAGGGTTTGATGAAGTTGGATATGGATCTCCAGAACCTCTAGGCACAGGTTCCCCCTCCCTATTGCCCCACACTGGCCTAGACTCTGGCACAGAGCCCCTGAACTAACTCCAGACCTGTCCTAGGCTCAGCAAAGCCTCAACCGAGGGTATCTGCCCTATTCAAACCACTGAGGAACCTCCACCACTATTTATAGCACATGGGGTAGAAGTGGGGATAAACCTCTGGAGATGTCAGGACAAGTGCCCTCTCCTAGGTGTGAGGGAGATCTGAGGGTGGGCAGAGGGCAGAATACTGTGGCTCCAACCCCAGAAGAGGTTGAACATTTTTCATTTTTTACACCAACCTGGCTGTGGGGCAGGAATCTGGGCACAGCAGTAAATACAGTGGCCTCTCCTGGACTCAGTTCTCTCATTTGGTGTGGGGGACACCAATAATTGCAGAAAGGTGAAGTGGGTGCCATGCCAAGTACCTGCTAGATGAAGGGAATCTGCCAGAAGTGGGACTGCCCTTGAATGGGAGGGTCCAAGAGCATCTGCTGAGCAAGGGACACTTCTACTGAGACCTGGGATACCTAGGATGATGACTGGGTAGGAGCAGATTGCCTGGTGACCTGCTGGCCCTGGGCCTGCATGTTCCCAACTGTACAATGGGCAGGGCTCCTGAAGGAGCACCTCTGTGTTTGGGGAAAACACCCTCGGGGATGGTTAGCACCCTTTGGCCATGGGGTCTGAGATGGCTTTGTGGCTTAACTTTCCAAGCAGCCAGCGGGCCCTCTGGGCCTGAGCTGCCCTGCCCCCCATTCACCAATGGCTTCAAGGCCTAGGCATGGCCCGTAGTGGCATGGTGGGCCCATGATGTCCCAAACTCACTCCCAACAGATACTACCTAAAGGTTCTGGGAACCTTGACTCAAGGTCAGCTCCTTGACTGACATGCTGGCCTCAAAACCATCTCTCCTCCTGCTTCACAGGGGCCTGGATGCTGCATCCTGGTCCCAGATCCACCAGAAACTCCAGAACTTCTCCCTTGGCACTCAGGTAGGCCTCCCTGGGCCCACCCAGGGCCACCCACACTATGCCATGACTGTGGCTTACACACACACATACACACACCCATGCTAGGCAGAGCTGGAGCAGGAGAGGGCACAGCTGCTGGTTCGGGCCACAGTAGCTGAGAAGCAACTTTCTGAGCTACAGGAGTACGTGGACCAGCATCTAGGCAGGTAGGCTCTTGGGAAGTGAGTTGGGTATGCCCTGAAAGCCCAGGTCTGGTTGGGAAGGAAGACAATGGCGATCCCAGACACCACAGGCAGACCTGTCCATAGCCATGAAGGTGACTTAAGCCTGGTCTCTCCAAGCAGATACAAACAGGAAATCCTAAGGCTGAGGAAGCTGGCAGGTGCAAGGGACCCCTGGACAGCTGGGGCCACACCCCCAGCCAAACCCCAACATCTGAGGACATGCAGCCACTAGCTGGTCTTCCAGTGAGCACAGAGGAGACTCCTTTGCAGCCAACATGGAGCCCTCCTACCCAACCCTCTGCAAAACAAGAGTCAGTAGAATCCACAGTCTCTTTATTGTCTGGAATTAACCAGCCTGAGAAATAGGGGCTCCTGGAACCAAAATGGAACCAGGTCCTGGGCCAGCCTTGATGGGCATCCCCCGGGAGGAGATGGCTTTCCCAGTCAGCCCACTACCACAGATGTCATAGGCCCAGACTCTGTCCACACCCTCGCCCACCACAGCCACAGGCTTCCAGGTGGGGAGGGGAAAGCGCCCAGAGACCACCCGAGCACCTAGGGGCAGCTCTGCCTGCAGCTTGTCCTCCAGCAGTGGGAGCTGTGGGAGAGAACAGTAGAGAGGAGGGGGCCACGGACAGGCAGAAAACAGCTGCCCACACCTAGCCTTCCCAGGCCGAGCATCCATGTTGGGCTGGCCCCTAGGCTTCAGAAGCAAACACACTGAGATGGAGCCTAGTCCCAGTGGGACTAGCAAACCCCAGACATACCACGCTGGGGGCCAGGAACACAGACACGTTGTGGCAGTCCTTCAGGCTCACCTGTGGGGAGAGGAGGTCACCCCAGTAGGGAGAGGTCTGGTGGGTATGGAGTCACTATAGCTTCAGAGTCCCAGCTCCAGCCCACCCAGGTGTCAAGGGGACCTTAGGCTGTCAGCAGGATGGCCAAGCCAGAACCGAAGTGTGGAAATCAGGTGTGGAATCTGTGAGGGTCCAGAACTCCCCAGGTTACCTTCCAAAAGTCCTCACGGCGGTAGCAGAGACTGGCAACACAGCCGGCCTTCCAGGCGTGCAGCCTTGCCAGTGCCACCAGCCACGGGTTCAGCTCATAGCCCACAGCCGGTCGGAGGCCACACTTGTGGGCCGCCAGTACCTGTGGACACCAAGAACATGCAGGACAAGAATGTGGGGGAGAATACCTACGGGAAGGGGTTTGTGAGGACGACACACTCACACTTGGGCGCCTTACCACCCTGCCGTCGCCGGATCCCAGATCCACCATTTTTCCAGAGCGGCCTCGCAGCAGCGACAACACATGCTCGACCTGCCGTGCGCTGGCACCAACGTAGGGCACCTGCGCAAGGAAGTGGGTGGGCAGGGAAGGCTGGAGTCCATTGGCCACTCCCGCCCCTCCCAGAGCCCGTCCTGAATCAGCCAGGCAAGGGCAGGATTCACCTCCTCGGCTTCTTTTCTTAGCCAACTTTCCTGCCAAAGATGGGGAAGGTACCAACCCCAGCCCAGTACTTGAGCGGCAGCCACCCTTCCCTCACGCCTCAGACCCGCCCCCGCCCGGACTAGTTACATCCCGGACTCGGCCCTCACCGCCTCCGCCCCCTCTAAAAGCACACCCCTGCCTAGACCTGAGGCCTCTGCACGCCCGCTCCGCACCTGCAGCCGCAGCGGCACGCGACGGAAACCTGGCTGTAGCAGCAGCGCCCAGGTCACGTAGGCCACCAGGCCTGAGCCTGCTGCCAGCTGCAGCAGCTCGAGCGCTCCCAGCCGCCGCTCGCGCAGCTCCGTCAGCGCCTCGGCCGGGTCATCCTGTTCCATGGCTGCGGGACACGCGGCTCAGGGTCTTAGCGCTAGGGTCTGAGACCCTCACGCCCTGGCCCGAAGTTAGGGGCGTGCGGTAGTCGACCGGCCCGGTGCCTACCGCAGGCCGAGGCTAGACGCCGGAAGTGGCCGGTGCGTCGCGAGTTCGACTCCGCCTCAGCTCCCCTCCCGCGGGTTCCGTGTGAGCGAGGACCCTGGCAGATTCTACCCCCTTTTCCTGCCTGAAACCTGCGACAGTCGGCTCCGTCGGCCTACTCTGTGGACAGACGGTTATTTGGTGCCTGTTCTGGGCTCTAGAGACCCCTAGGAGGGGACAGGCGGGCCCTGCCTCCGTGGAACGCACATCCTAGTTCTGGGAGACGCGTTGCCTCTGACAGTCTCACGGGCTAGACGCCTGAGGGGAACCCAGCTGCGAGTTGAAGGTCTGGCGGTGGGAAGGAGGTTGCCCAGAGATTATGAGTCCTGTTGAGACTGGAGGGCGTCCTGGTCCTAGAACCAGCTGGAAGCTTGTGCGGTGTGTCTAGAGCCTGGGGAGCTGGGGATCAATCTCGGAAGGAAAGGCGCTCACTAGGAGTGGAACAGCGTCCAGGCCCTAGGTCACAGCCAGCCCCCGTGACTCTGCCTCGGCGAAGCCGGTGGGGGCTCCACTGACCCGGACGCCAGGAAAGCCAGCCAAATCCAGGGAGGACATCCTTCCGGTTCCCTCCCACAGCTGAAGAGGATTAGCCCAGTGGGCGGGAAATGGATGAAGCTCTAGGGTCCCAAGGAAAGGACCAGGGAGGAGGAGTTGGCAAAAAGAGATATAGCATCTCGACAGATGCTGGCACTAACGAGTGTGGGAGGGGAGACGGATGTGACAGGTATGGGGGGGCACTGGAAGCTAACCCAGTTGTGGGGGCAGAAGACAGAACCCCAGGAACCAGAGAAATCACCTTTCTTCTCCAGAAAACAAAAAAAGATTGAAGAGTTCCTGGAGGTGACGTTGTGAAGCCTGGGGGTTGGGGAGGTAAGTGGAGGGACAGAGCCTTGGGTAAGCAGCTGGGCTCAGCTGCCACAGCCACTGCCTGGTGAATGCCAGGGACTTGCCTATGCGCATGTCCTGGTCTGGCTCCTTCACAGTCACCATGGCCCTGGTGAGGAGCCCCAACAGGTATGGAAGCTTTTTCCATAGAGTAGGTATGCCCAAGACCACTACACTGTCCCCTATGTGCAGAGTGGTTCAAGTGCCAGTGCCACCTGCACATTAATCCCCACCCACCTAACCAGCCCTGAAAGACAGATGTTCCTGGGTGGCAAGAAAGTCCTTTGCACTGAGGAGGAGGCAGCCAGGCTCACCCAGATCAGAATGTCCTGTCTTCTGGTGGGGGGGGGGTGTCTGTGACTGGGCCCTCCCAGGAAAGGGAGGCTGTGAACTGAGCTGTAGGTAGGGGTGCTTACACAGCACCCATTCCTCTCGGTGGCTCCATGCATTATTCCCTCCCAGTGCCTGCAGCCACACCTGGCGCCTATAAGGCACTCAAAAAAAGCTTGTTTAATGAATGAATCCACCTAACAGACCTGCTAGCATGCACACCCCCCCTCTTCTCTCTTATATTCACACCACACACTCTGCTCCTCAGCAGCTAGGTGCATACCTGTGTGAGTCAGCACACACCTATAGCTGTGTCTGATTAACAAGGCCCCTCTGGTCAGCTCCTGTAACTCCAGTCCATGTGCTCACCCACACATGTTCCCTGTCTCCCCTCCTACTTTGGCCACTGGTCCCCAGGGCAGGCATGAAGCCCCAGCCCAACCCTCTGAGACCTGACCTGGAGCACCTGTGGCCCTACTTGCCACAACCACTTCTGTCTTTCTGTGTCCTGTGAGAATGCTTGTTGCAAAGCCAGCACTTTGCCAGGGAGAGTTTGCATCTGGGAGGTCTAGTGCTTCCTGGGGCAGGTGAGTGGAAGCCAGGATGCACCCAGGATATCTGCCCAGCATGCTTCTGAACAGGTGTACTGGGAGACTGTCTCTAGCCACCAGGATGGGGGGTGGGGGCTGTAAGCAGCTGGCTGGTGCTGCAGGTAAGGGTGCTACTCGGCCCTGGTGGGGAAACCTCTCAAGGAAGAAGAGAAAGAGCAGCCAGAGAACACACTAGCTTCCTCTTCCTCTGGTCTGTGGAGGTTGAGGCAGGGCAGACAGTCCAGGGAATGGTCCAAGTGTTACTGGTTCCCTGGTCCAGCTCTCCAGTGAGGAGTGTGGATGATGAGGAGGAAAAGGCAACCATCTGAGCTCTGAGCACTCCATGGTTGGGAGTTTAGGGAAATTAGAGGAAGCAGCAGGGACCCTGCAGAGAGGCAGGCGGAGGAAACCTAGCAGCATCTGCTATCCAGGGAAGCTACACTCCCCACGAGTACTTTTGCCATCACCTACAAGAGGCAAGTGGTCTGCATACCCCCACGTGTGTGCAGCAGTAAGACAAGTCTCCCATGGAAGTTCCAGAACAGTGCTAGAGGTGACCCACCACTCGTGCTCTCAGGGCTAGGTGCCTATGTTGGCTGAATCTGGAGGAAGGACCTTGTTTGTGGGCCCTACACAGACTGTCCCTTTTCCAGGCTCAGCTTCTTGCCTGAAGATAAGGGCTTCATCCGGTCTGGGCCTGGGTAGAGCCTCCACCCTCTGCCCTCCAACCCACCCCTGACCCTTTCCCCAGTGAGGACAAACAAGCAAGGATGAAAAAGCAGCACTGGCACTCACTTCGTCAGGGGGCCCCTAGCATTTGAGCTCTGGCTGTCTCTTTCCCAGGAGCTGAGGGGCTGGGGGAAAGGAATCAGATCATCTGGAGCAACCCCCAGCACACCCCCACCCAAGGCTTTCAGCCCTAAGGCCTCTAGTTTTATCTGTACCAAACCTCACTGGCCCTTTATGTGGCAGAGATGCCGCCAAGGAGGGAGGCAGAAGGCGGAGACTGCAACAATGGGGCCAGTGGCGGGAACAGTCCTTAGAGGCCCCATTGTGCACCCTGCCCACTGGAAATGGGCAATAAGCAGGACCCCACAGAGGAGACCCCACACCCTGTGGGCTCCTCGCCATGTCTGGATGCTCAGCACGTTGGAGGGGCCTGTGGACAGAGGGGCCCATTCTTTCCCCAGGGCAGGACAGGGCTCAGGATGACTACTGTCAGGGACAGCGAGGGAAGTTGGCACCCTGCCAAATTGCAACCCCTTCACTCACAAGCCTGGCACAGAGCTAGCAGAGGTGTCTGCCTGCTCACACCCCACCCACTTCAGCTTTGGGGATTATGGCCCCCTTTCCACCCCTGCTGGGCCCCAGCACCTTGACATTAGGGCCACATGGGAGCCAGTGATTAAACCAGGGACAGCAGGTAAGATCCAGGCAGAATGGAGTAGGCCAGGGCAGCAGGACCAAAGCTCTTGGGGGTTCTGCATGTTCCTCAATGCAGCTGAGCCCCTAGCGGTATCTGGGTGTAGCTCCTCCTCAAACCTGCTTTCCCACCCACTAGCTGGAACAAGAAACTGTACCAGTCCCTCCCCCAGCCTTAGTCTACCCTGTGAAGCTGGAATTGGAGCAGTCCTTACAGCTGACAGAAGACAAAGTGCACTGAGGCAGGTCCAGGGCTGGGCTGGACACAGGAGACCAAATCCGTGCCACTAATGTAATCAAAGTTCTTATTGATTATCCCATCACCTCAGCAGTGAGTACTGTGATGCCCTCCCCACCTTCCCTCCCTCCCAGCATCCCATCCAGAGGAGGATCCAGCTGATGGCTATTCCCAGGCCCCTCAGTGCAGGGCCACCTCACAGGGGTGGAGGTGGGCCTCGTGGGCAGCTGCATAGGCACGGCTAAACTCCTGGAATCGGGGGGCACAGCCCAGCCAGGCCTCACCAAAGTGGCTCCAGCCCATAAAGAGGAAGGTGCCCGGGCCAGGGTGGACACCACAGCGTAGGGGGGTGCGAATGGAAGCCTGCCCCTTGTCCCCAGAGCCCCCTGCCTGGAACAGTGGCAATGTCTGGCGGAGGACACGGGAAGCCACCACAGTGATGACAGACTCCTGCAGCTCCATGTCGTGGGTGACCCCATGGATGGTCCCATGAATTACTGTGGGGAGACACATTGGCCACTAATGGGCATGCAGGGGAGAACAGGCTCCAGGCTCCCCCCATGGTGAGGACACTCACCAAAGTCGCTGGTGCATGCAGCCAGGAGGAGCTCAGCATTGCTGCAGGGTCTGCAGCCACCTAGTATGCAGAAAAGTTGTGAGCACAGGAAATTACTCTCACCCTCACCCTCCAGGTTCCACTCCAGACCTCCCAGCAGCAAGCAGAAGGGAGCTGGCCAGCAAGCAGACCTTCCTCTCAGGGCCTGGTAGTACCTAGGAGGCACTACCCTAGGTCACCTGCATACGGGGTGTGCCCTTGCAGGCATGAGCCCACACCATGCAAATGTACAGACAGTCCTGGAGCCGTGCCTGGCAATCAGGTGTCCCAGTACATACTCTTGAACACCCATCTGACGGATGCAGACCAACGTCTGGAAGCCTCTATGGTCTCTCAGCACTGTCTCCTGGGCCTTAAGAATACCAGCCCACCTAGTGTGCCAGGAGATCAGGGAGGGGTTCTGTGGCCCCTGTCCTAAGGACAGTGAGAGCCCATCCTCTGCAGGGTCAGAATCCAAGCTCCAGGAGAGCAAAGAGCCCAGCCTGGTGCCCCGTAGGGAGGAGGGGCAGCGTCTCCATGGTGACTGAGCTGCACACTGGACTTTTGTTGGTTGGCCTGGGGGAGGGGAGAGAGGTCACTGCTGGGCCAGCTTTGGTCAGAGGCTTTGATTCTGCCCCCGGCATCCCCTCTCCCCAACCCTTCAGGAACCAGATGCCCAGGAGTGGACCCGCCAGGCCTCCCCTTCCCTCCATTCTGCCTCTGCCAACTCCTTCACTCAGATGCATCACCAGGAGGGAAGGAGTGGAGGGCCAGTCCATCCCTACCCACTTCAGACCTGTCCTGGCACTGCCACGTCCTAGCTATGTGGCTTTTGACAAGCTCATTTGATCCTTGGCCTCAGTTTTTCCTTCTGTGTAGTGGGGGTAGCAACACCCCCCCAACCCCACCCCCCCACCGCCGCCAAGCCCAGGTTGAGTCCCACTGCATGACTGCCACCCAGTCCCCATCCGGACATCACTCACCGTCCACACCAAGACCATGGGCCTGTGGAGGCAGCTCTGGTCGCCCGTCCTCGCGCAGCTCAAAGCGGAAGGCGGCCACCCGGCGGCTGATGTCCGGGTGTGGCGTGGCCTGCAGAAAGAGGGCCCGGCGCTCGCCGGGACCCCAGCGCACGCAGCGGCCTCCTGCCGGGCCTGGGCCCTCCGCCAGCATCAGCTCCAGGGAGCCACGCGCCCGCTCTGCGAAGACCTGAACGCCCGTGAAGGGCCGTGCCGGCCGCAGGCAAGCGATGCTGGGCCGCGCGCCGGGGTCGTGGCCGCCCAGGGTCAGGCGCAGTGCCCCGGCCGGGTACAGCCACTCGATCGCTCCCTCTGCACAGGCCAGGGCTAGCTGCCCCACGCTGCCGGGTTCCAGGGTCAGGCCGCTGGGGAAAGGACGGGCGGCTCTGAGGCAGGCCGTCCCGGTGCAGGCCCCCGTACCCCCTCCCCATAGCCACTAACAACTGCGTTCCAGTTGTGAAGGAAATTGAGGCCCAGCGTTCTCTGGACAGTACACCCGCCATCCCACAGCGCGAGAGAACACCGTCTCTAGTGCTCGATAAGAGTAGTGCTCAGTCCAGGCGGAGGGGGTAGCGGGCGTGGGGCTCTTCGCGGGCCATACCTGCCCCTCCAACTGCAGCGGTCCCCGGAGTAGCCAGCGCGGGCTGCGGCCAGGAGGCCACAGCAGAGCGCGCATAGCAGCGCCGGGGACGGCATGGCGCACAAGGACTGGCCGGGCTGTCTGGGGTCTGGGGTCTGGGGTCTCAATCAATGCCCCGGCGGGGACCGGGTCGGGGGCGGCGGCCGCCGGCCCCGGCGTCGCCCCCACCGCCCACGGCCACTCAGCCAGCAGCACAGCCTCGCGCCGGGTAGCCCTGGAGTGGGCGGGGGGCGGGGCGGGGCAGCACTGGGGCCAATGACGGAGCCGCCCGGAACTTTCCGCCAATCGCAGTGGCGCCAGCAGGGGCGGGTCTGTGGCCAGAATCCGGGCGCGCGGCGGAGGAGGGTCCTGCAGCCAGGCCGGGTGGGGAGGCGGCTCGGCTGCGGAACTCGCCGGCAGGGTCGGCTAGTATTCCCGGAACTTTGGACCCCTTGATGAGGTTGAGGGTTGGAGTCCACTGGAATCTCGAGGAGAAGGCTGGCTTGCCTAGGGTGGCACTGCTACGTCCCCTGGTTGGGCAGTGGCGGCTGGTGCTCTTTTATAAGAGCGGGAGTTGGGCTTCTTGCTCATATCCCTACCAATGAGGTCCTACTGAGCCCTCTCCCAGCGGCTGCCTCCCCAGAAGGCAGCTGGTACCCCAGGGGAGAGGAGTCATTACTCCAGTGCTGGGCTCTGGGCCAGACCTGGGACTGTGTGTGGACTCCCTTGGCTGGAGCAGCCTGGTCGAGGTTAGATCTTTCTTTTCTTTTTCTTTTGCAGTTTTTGGCCAGGGCTGGGTCTGATCCCGCCACCTCCGGCATATGGGGCCGGCGCCCTACTCCTTTGAGCCACAGGCGCCGCCCCAAGGTTAGATCTTTCTGCAGCACCCCTTTCTCAGACCCATGCTGACTCCAGGCTGAAGTGGATGAGCCCCTGAAGGGTGCTCTGGAGCAGCCCCAGGCACCCTAACAGGCCACGCTGATTGGATGGCCCAAGTGTGAAACTGAGAGCTGAGTGGGTCTTCCCTGCAGCCAGCTGAGTTTGGCCCTAGAGGAGGGTGTGGGGAGAGGTGGCCTGATGGAAATGGGGAAGGGAAGGGGGCATCAGACAGGCTTGGCCAAGGCCCTGGGGATGGAGCTCTTGACAACCTGGTGAAACCCCAGGGCATGGGGTTGGTGGGGAAACAGCTCAGGTCACAGAAGGCTGAAGGCACAAACCAAGGGTCCAACCACACACTGAAGCCCTTTGGGTCACTGCTAGCTTTATTAGGCTCTGTAGGAACCAGCTTGGGGTGTGACCACTCCATGCTTTGTGCAGCATGTGGGTGTGACCAGTCCATTTCCCTCCCCTTCAGCCCTTCTGCTGCTTCTGGGCCTGAAGCTCATAGTGGACAGATGAGGTCAGAAGGCCTCAGTAGTAGGAGAGAGTTGAATTCCATTGCCAGATCTAAGAGGACTCAGCTGGCCCTTTGCTCTGGGTAAGGTGGGGCTCAGAGCCAGGCATCATAATAACCAAAAGTGAAAACAGCCCAAGCACCTATGGGGGGTGGTGGCTCATGCCTGTAATCCCAGCACTCTGGCTGAGACAAGTGGATTGCATGAGCTCAGGAGTTCAAGACCAGCTTGAGGAAGAACAAGACTCCATCTCTACTAAAAATAGAAAAATTTGGCTCGGCACCTGTGGCTCAAGTGGCTAAGGTGCCAGCCACATACACCTAAGGTGGCGGGTTCGAATCCAGCCCAGGCCCACCAAACAACAGTGATGGCTGCAACCAAAAAATAGCCAGGCGTTGTGGCGGGTGCCTGTGGTCCCAGCTACTTGGGAGGTGGAGGCAGGAAACTCGCTTGAACCCAGGAGTTGGAGGTTGCTGTGAGTTGTGATGCCACTGCACTCTACCCAGGGGGACACCTTGAGGCTCTGTCTCAAAAAAAAAAAAAAAAAAAAAAAAAACAGAAAAATTAGTTGGGTGTGGTAGTGGGTAGCTACTTGGGAGGCTGGGGCAGGAGAATCACTTGAACCCAGGAAAGAAAACCTGGAAGGCAGTATCCAGAGAAAGCTCCAGAGCTTATGAATGACTGTGTGCACGAGATGGTGGCATAACATGGGAAAAGCTGATCAAGCTGGAGATCTCCAAGCTGGCCAGCATGGAAAGCAATCCCCAGAGAGCCCAGATGAGGCAGCAGAGATGGAAGGGCATCATTCCCTTTCTTGGAACCTTCCTCAAACCTAGTCCTGCTAAAGAAGAGGACACACAATGCTATGGATGCCATGAAGATGCTTCAGCAGTTACAGCTGCTTCAGGTGACTGCGGAGAATTTCCACTTCGAACTGGGCAAAGAATTTCAGTCCTGGTTCCAAACCATGAAGTGACTGGACCCAGAGGACAGCCACAACTTCTCCCGTGAGCTGGAGCCACCATTGGAATAGACCAACAACAACAACAAGGCCAGGAGACCTGTCTGGACTGTGTCCACAGTGGAGTATAGTTTCAATATGAATGTACTTAACATTGAACTGTGGGCTTAAAAATGCTTAAAATAGTAAATTTTATTAAGTGTATTTTACCATAATTAAAAATAGAAAGGAGTAGACTCGGCCTAAAGCTGGGCACAGTAGGCGAATGAGGCGTTTGCACAAGGAAGGGAAAGGGCACCCAGGTCAGCTGCCAGAGCTGCTGTTCTGGAGTCTGTAAGGCCACTTCTTGCAGTCACTGGGACAGCAGTCCAGCCCCAGCCTGTGAGGCAGATAGCAAGCTTCTCACGCCCTCTGGTGGTAGTGTGAGGAGTCGGCCTTGCAAAATTCCCACTGCAGCCCTACCGTCCAAGAGCTGGTGCCTGTGGGTTCCAGGAAGGGGTTAGGGGGAGTGATTTGGTCTGGAAGGGGCCCTGAGCCATTGCCGCAACATGGAGCTTGCTGCCTCCTCTACCACCCTCGTCTTTGAGGTTGTCACCCATAAGAGGCCACTTCTCTCAGCTCCTGGCCCTACCCAGAAGACCAGCTGGTATCTTTCGGGGCTGTTACCAATGGGACAGGGAGAGACAAGAAGGACAAGTCTGGCAGTTATAGTCCCAGGATGTGAGACACCTAGTGCAGGTGCTCAGTAAATATCTGGAAGACGAGTGAATGGATGAATGAAACTAACTCCTTGACTGCCTATGCTCACTTGGGGACTCCCTTGAAGACCCTCACCTCCCTGAAACCCCCAAAAGGTGCCTACCTCCATTCCCACCCAAGAAAGAACAAGAATGAGAACAGCAGGAGGAACTCAGGTCAGACAAAAGGAAGAGCTACCTGCAGGGTATGGAAGCTACCTGCAGCTTCAGGAAGTTGAAACAGTGTTTGGGAGGTGGCTGTCCCCTCTAGGAGAGTGCAGAGACCCCAGTGATTGTCTCCCACAGATTGCAGCTCTGCCTGGCCTTGGCCACGCAAACATTTACCAAACCTCTCGGCCCAAAAAGCCAAAGAGGGTGGCCGGCCTGAGAGCCTATCTATCCTGAAACCTCAGACTTGGTTTCTACTCCTGGCTTCCCCAGAGGGGCCTTGAAGGTGTTGGAAGTGGAGGAAATGAAGACTTCAGTCATTGCCACATGTATCACCCTGCATGCTGCCCACCTCTAGCCATGGCACTGTCCCCCCAAAATACAGGTCCTGTACTCATCGGAATACACTTTGATGACACCCAACATGAACACTGGCTTTGACCTCTCACCCAGCTTGACCTACAAAGTCTTGTGGTACTCCTGGACCCCACCAGGGGCACGGTCTTACCTCCCAGGCACTGCATAACCTCTGGTTCACTTCCACCTGCCACCTGCTGTCCTCCTCACCCCACCCCTAGATCTGCCTTGCCCACTTACAGGGCTGACCTCAGTGAGGCAGCAAGGTTGCTATCTTGGGGATATTTTTCTCCCTTTACTGAGGAATCCATCCCCCCACACCTTGCATCTCCTTAAGGAGCTGAAAATGCAGCTGCCGATTGATTTACTGCTGAGCTAAAAATAACTGCCAGGCTCCAGCCAGGCCCTGGAAAATACCCCATTGCTAGGAGACAGCGTTACTGGGAGACTGCCATCGCTAGGCGACGCGTGCTCCTGTGGTGACAGCTGGGCCCTGAGTCATCCTCAGCCTTGACAGGGGGTGGGCCAGCAGGGAGCACAGGCCATAAAGCATTAAAAAGGGCCCTCCACCCATCGTCTCCATGGTCCCTGTAGCCTCAATCTTCTCACACCTGTGGACACCTCATTCTGGCCTCTGAATGGCCAGGACAGCCAAAACACCCACAGCCTCACACTGGCAGTCCCCAGGCATTCTCCAGCTTCTACTTCTGGGCTGCAGTGGGGCAGTGGGGTCATATGGTCCATCTGGCCCCAAGAAGAATCAATTTGCTCCCAAGTATAGGGCTCTCAGCGCTGGTGCTGTGCTGATACCTTCAGGGTGTCCCCTTTAGGCCCTAGACCCATTTCCCAGGATGGGCTCAGTGGGGGGAAATGCCTACCTAGGGCCCATATGCCCACATAGAGTCCCCAAAGAAATGCCTGAGGACCTCCTGTGATGAGTCCCAAAGTACTGTGGGGTATGACTTCCACCCGCTGTGACCCTAGCTGCCTCTCATAGCTCCAAAGGTGTCAGGGTGAGATGTACCAGCAGACTCTGGTCATCACTCCCCTATGACTCCAGAGTTGGAACCCTCAAGAACCCTAGACAGGAGGTTCCTCCATGCTCAGGCATCAAGCCAAGGGCTGCTCCAGGTAAGAGTGCTCCAGATTAGTGTTCTGCAGGTAAGGGGGCTCTGGGTGAGAGGTGCTCCAGGTGAGGGTGCTCCAAGTATGGGATGCGCCAGGTCAGAGTGCTCTAGGTGAGTGTTCTCCATGTGAGGAGTGCTCCAGGTGAGGGACGCTCCTGTTGAGTGTTCCCCAGGTGAGGAGGGTTCTAGGTGAGTGTTCTCCAGGTGAGGGGTGCTCCAGATGAGGGATACTCCAGCTGAGAGTGCTTTGGGTGAGGGATGCTCCAGGTGAGTGCTCTCCAGGTGAGGGTGCTCTGGGTGAGTCGTACTCCAGGTGCCTCCAGGAGCTTAGGCCACACACCCTCCCATATCTGTCCCTCAGAAATGATAAAGAGGAATGCCCCCCCCCCCGGAGATGCAAGTCTACAGAGCAGCCCCACCTGGCCCCAGTCTCGCCCATCCTTCACAGAAGGTGGTTCAAAATGCTAGAGCTGATTAGTCAGGTGTTGTGGTGGGCACCTGTAGTCCCAGCTACTTGGGCTGAGACAAGAGGATCGCTTGAGCCCAGAAATTTGAATTTGCTGTGACCTGTGATGCCACAGCACTCTAGCCTGGGGCAACAGAGTGAGATTCTGTCTCAAAAAAAACCTCGATACTCTTGTAGAGTGTGGTGGCATCACAGCTCACAGCAACTTCAAACTCTTGGGCTTAAGCGATTCTTTTGCTACAGCCTCCCAAGTAGCTGGGATTACAGGCACCCACTACAACACCTGGCTATATTTTGTTGTTGTAGTTGTCATGGTTGTTTAGCAGGCCTGGGCCAGATTCAAACCCGCCAGCCCCAGTGTATGTGACCGGCGCTATGGGCACCAAGCCTCAAAAAAAATTATTTTAAAAATGCTGCAACTGGTGACCTCTCTGCTTGCACACTCGCTCCTGCTCTCATCCACCACATTTGTTGAATGCCTGTATGTGCTGAATCCTAGGTTAGGTGGCAGGGACAGCATAGTGGAGAACCTGCCCTGGCCCTCAGGGGGTGCAGCTAGCAGCTAATTCAAAGAGGCTGAAAAAGGAAGGTGAGAACACTGATTTGTAGCTCTGTCCACCTGGAAGGAAGGGGCCTAGGGGAGAACATATGAGCCAAGATCTGAGGGGCAAGTAGAGGCATCCAGGTGCAGGTGGCAAAGGGGTGCCCCAGGCAAGGGACCAGGGGATAGGAGGCTCCAGGTGAAAGTGCTACAAGTGAGAGCAGAAGCACGTGCGTGGGTCTGAGGAAGGCTGATGTAGCTGAAGATCCAAGAGCAAGGAACCAGGTATGGGGTGAAACTGTGGGCAGCAGTACACTGCTGTGCAGACTGCAGCAAGGGGTAGACGGAGTCCTGGGAAAGAAAGGACCATGTCAGAATTACAAAATGACCCCCCTACATTCTGGGGAGAACAGGTGTTGGAAGAGGGGTGAAGAGATCAGTGTGGAGGTAGTAGCCAATAGCCATGGAGGATAGAGACACAGACAAGTGCCTGGCAGAGAGAGGGGAGACAGAAGTGGAGAGAAGTAGGTGGATCCACAAGCATGGAAGAGGTAAAGGAGGCCTCTACAGCAGCATTTCTCTGTTTCTCTTGCTGGGCACTATTTGCTCTTCTTCAAAGACAGGTTTGGTTTATCGGGCCCCTGCTAAGGTAGCATGACCCAAATGCCATTGGGTGTCCTGGTGTCCCTCACCCTCACCTGGTGAGGCACCTCAGCTGAGGCATCTGAACTCAACACAGCACAACTTGTTCTCTGCCTGAGGCCCTGGCACCTGCTGAGGGCCAAGAGCCCCCAAAGTGTAAGGTGAAACCCTCCTACCAGTCACAATACACGCCTGCACACAGGAGGTGGTGGCTGCTGTGGGAAGGCTAGCCTTCCAGACCCATGCATGAGAGAGATGACTGGGCAGGTTGGATGGCTACCCTCCTGTCATGGCAACTGTCTTCTCAGGGGTCCTTCTGTCTGCCCCACTCCAATCTACCTTCTTTGATCAGTATCAGGGCACAGAGTAAGACTGTGAGTCTTTGATCACTGCCCCCAGCTGCAACAGGCTAAACCCAGTGCCTAACCACCACCACCACCACCCCCCCACGCCACACACACAGCAAGAACAGCACTCCCCCTTCCAGGCACCAGGGGTCCAGCTAGTCTGGTTTCCCCTTCCTGCTGACCCTGGACAACAGCCCCATGGAGCCTTGCTTCCCATCAAGACACTGCAAACACCAGCTGGTCTCATTTCTGTTAAGATTCTCAGGAAACCTCACTCTCAGCCCTGTGACTCTTCCCTGATGCACAGACCCCAGTCTGCTCTCCCCACACCTGGTCCCTCTGCTGTCCTTGCTCCCAGGTGACCCCAGGATGGGGCGCCGCTAGCCTCCATCCTCCTGCTCTGAACCTGGGTCTCCAGTAACACTGACAGTGTTCTCGCCCGGGACCCAGTCTGCCCCTGGGCTGCTGAGGGTTGCCATCCCCTGGCCTCCAGTTCATTCCAGAGGGAACATGTCAGGTTCCTTAAGACCTCAGGACCTTTGCGCATCCCTTCCCAAGCCATTCCTCCCTCTCACCGTTGTGGTCTCTGCCCAAGTGTAACAAACACCCTCAGGAGCCTCCAACACTACCCTGGAGAGACTACCATCAAGAGCCTTCTCGTACTTTCATTGTCACTCTCTGAAACGTTCTGTTTAATCACTTGTTTTCCCAGCTCTGCAGGTGTGCAAATGTCTCCGCTGAGGGGTTCCCAGGCCTGGCAGGCAGCGCGCAGGGGATGTGAAGACTGTGCAGGGGCCTGGCCACGGCGTGGCGGGAGGGTACAGAGGGTGGAGGGGTCTGACCTGCCTTCCTCTTCTGGGCCGGGCCTGCCCTTCCTCGCCCCGGCAGGTGGCGCCCAGGGCCCGGCCCTCATCTCCAAGGAGCCTGTGCTCCTGACCTAGCGGCAGGCGCCTGGGGGCCTGACTCCTCCTCTGCTCTCAGCCTTCGGGTCGCCACCGCTTGGCCCTGGCGGGTCTGTTAGAGCCGACTCTCCAGCAGTGCACCCTGCCCTCCCCCACTCGCGGCGCGCCAGGGTTTGTTATTGTGCGGGTGCCCGCGGCAGAGGAGGGCGGGGGCGCGTGCCGGGCCTGGCGCGTGCCCATTGGTACCGCGCCTGGAGCGCGCTGCGCGCGGGGGGCGGGGCGCGGTATCTTCTGCACCCCCGCCCGGTCTCACGATCCCGGATTGGTTCCCGACACCGGGAGCGCGCGAGGGCGCGGCGCTTAGGGCCGGGCAGGGGCCGCGCGCGGCGCCGGCAGCGGCCGCGGAGGAGCGCGGGGAGGAGGGTAGGGGAGTGAGGAGGCACCCGCAAAGGCTCCCTGCAAAGCGGCCTTATTTATCTGGGTGTAGCCTCAGCCTCCCCGGTGGGAGGCTCGGGGTGGCTGATCCTCTCCCACCGGGGAGCTCCTCTTCAGGCACAGCCGAAGGGGCCCAGCCAGGCCGAGGCGCGAGGTGCGGGGTGCGGCTGGGCCCTGCCGGCCAGTCCAGAACCTCGACGGCCTCCACACTCGGCGACGCCCGTGCCGGGATCCCCATGTCAGGAGGTTGCCCAGAGGACCGCGTGGCATGAACCAGAAGCCCGGGCCCAGGTAAGGTGTGTGCGCGGGACCAGGCTGCGGGTCTGGGGGGTAGAGGGGAGTCCACGCCACACAATGAGGAGGGGGCGGGGTGGGGGTTTGGGTTCCGCGCCGCGTCGCCGCCGCCCGCGAAAGGCTTACGTAATGGCAGCCCCTTACCCACCTCACCCTGCTGCCGCTGGGCCTCCAGGCCTGCCAGGCCTTCCTGCAACCTCTTGCCTCAGTGGCTCCCCACCGACGACAGCCCCACCAGGTTGTGGGTCATTGGCACCTGAAACACTGAAAGGAAGCGCAGTGTCTCTGTTGAGGTGGAATTGCAGGTCTCCAGCCCCCACCCCCTTGGCTGGGTGAGGGCCTGGACTCCCTACTGGGCTCAGGGTTCTCCTGCCCCAGCTCCAAGTGTCCCTGGACCTATGTAACAGGGTTAGAAGGAATTAAACTCTGGGAGAAACCGTGTGGATATGTGGCTTAGGGGCTGGCCCTCACCAGGATACTTTCTGTATATGGGGCCTAAATAGAGCTGTCACCTCCAGAGGAAGCTGGGAGGGGATGGGCTGGCATCTTCTTGGCTCTGGAGAAGGAACCCGGCCTTCGAAAAGGCTGGAGGCCTCAGAAGGCAAACTGGACATCTGGAGACTTGCTGGGAAGGGGTCTTGTGTCTCCTGGGAGTTTGGATGGGTGAGAAGAGTTGTCTGCCCATCACCCCAAAAGGAAAGATGGCCCTGCCTCAGGAGCCCATGGCCAGGCGGCCACTTCTGCTGCCCCCTCCCAACCTCCACATGGGCAGCCTCACCTCCCCAGGAAGAGCAGATGGCGGTTGCCGCTTCACCTCCCTCCTCTCTTAGTCCCTCCCCCACACCTGCCACAACCCAGGGCCCACTGACCAGGGTTGGCTCAGGCCTTCATGGTGCCCAGTTGGACACAGGGCTGTCTCTCCCAGCCCACTCCTCTAACAGAGTGCTGGACAGCAACCTCAGAGCAGAAAGCCTGCAGTGGACCATGAGACTGAGGGCTCAGGCAGAGGCCTGATGGAACTTGGCTCACCTGGCCAGAGGTGCACATGGCTGGACTGGGGTCACCTAGAAAGGACGGAAGCTCAAGGCCTAGCTGTAAACATAGGCAGTGCAGAGGACCCCAGGACACTGCCCCAGTGCCTGCTGCCTCCTGGCTCCCCTACCCCAGCTAGGCCTATGAGCTCACCACATCCAGTGCTGGGGGCTTTCATGGGACAAAATCTTGCCCCCCCAGCTCCACCACTTCTGGGAGACATAAGTGAGTCCTGTCTCCTAGGGATGAGAGGGAAACCTGTAGATGGGAGGGATCTGGGGCCTTTGAACCAGCTAGAGATGGGCTCAGGAAACCCTACGTTGCCTAGGGGCAGGGACACCCTGCCCAGAGGTGGGAGATGAAGCACTTTTGCTGGCAGTGCCCCTGTGGACCCCGTCTCCTGGCATGTTGTTTCTCACTGCTGTCTCCAAGAGCTGGGATGGGGTGGGTGCGGATAGCAGCAAACGAAGCTCTGGGTGAGCAGGTGGCACCAAGCCTTCCCCACCACTGGTTTGGGAAAAGGCAATAGCCAGACCAGCTGCGGGGGAGGCAGGGGAGTGCAGGCTCCATTCCTTCCTTCACTTGGCAGGAAAGAGGGGGAGGATTTGAGGCAGCTGCCCAAAGCAGCAGGTACTGTGGGCCCAGCCCTAAGCCTTGGGAGGACTCGTTCTTCAGAGTAGTGGTCCGCTTTCCAAGGCACCCAGTGCTACATGGCTGAGCTTCCCTGAATGTGGCCACAGGGCCTCAGTCTGCTAGAATATCTCTCCAGGCCCTGTTTCCCCGGGCCGAGGGTTTCCCCTCCCCAGAACCCCTGGTACACCCCCAGAGGCATCTCAAGCTGGGGGCGGGAGAGGAGTGCTGCTATGCCACGTGCTGAGCGCCTGAGTCACGAGGCTGCAACAGAGTGTGCCAGCCACTCTATGTCCCCAATCCTCAGCTACCCCGCCTGTCACCCCAGTCCTTGGGCCAGGACTGCAAACAGCCTGATATGAGCGTTTCTGGCAACCTGTGCCCTGCCCATCTCCAGAGCTCTCAGCAGGCAGGAGGAGCTGGTCAATGCAGGTTCTGTTGGGGCTAAGCCCTCCAGTATCCAGGGTATACTTAATGCTCACAGACATGGGGACATCAGAGATATGGGAAGAGACCTTTGAACAGAGGACAATGAGAAGTAAGGGAGTTTCTGGGCACCCTTCTAAAAGAAGGGTGGGCACACAGTTTGCAGCTTATGGAAGGAGACCAGGGCCATGATAGGGACCTTGCTGGGTGAGAGCAGTACTCAGAGAGACCACCAGCCCATGCCCCAGACAGGAGGACATCAGGGACCCAGTGAAGTAGAACAGGGCAGAGCAAGAAGGCATAGGAGGTATACCTGGCCAGGGAAGGTTGCTTCCTGGGTCACTGTGCCTGGCCTGGGCATTGGGAACCAGAGAGTGTGGGTATCCAGGGATCAATCCTAACTTTGTACACCTCCTAGAGAAACACTTGCTTCCCCACTCCTGGTCAGGCAGTGTGTCAAGAGCTCTGGCCTGTGATGGGGGGACTGTGGTGCTCAGTGGAGTATGACAGGAGCACCACTTCCTTTTCTCCTGGTGGTTCCTGAACCTGGCAAGCTCCTGAGGAGTCCCTCAGATAAAAACAAATGTGAGTCATCCCCTTCCAGAAAGTTTATGTATTCCAAGGCTCACCACAGCCCTAGGGTCTTAGAGCCCTCTTAGTTGACTCTGGTACCAACCCAGCAGCCTGGCCACTGGCATTTAACTGTTTGGGTTATGCCTTCCCCACTGACCAGCCTCCTCTGAAATCTGACGTGTCTTTCATCAAGCCTCCTGAGCCTCTGCCAGCTGCATCCCTTTCTGCATGACCTAGCTAACTGGGTTTCATTCCTTACTCACTCATTCATTCATTCATTCAGTGTGCACTCAGAGGCTAGGTTGCCATGGTACCATCTGTCTTTAAGGAGTCCCTAGGCCAGGAGGAGAGGCAAACAGGTAGATGGTTGTGACAACCCACATGATAAGTAAGACTCTGGAGATGCTTTCTCAGGTGCTGGGGGCCCCAGTTGGGGAGGCAGGGGCAGTGCTGATGCCAAGGGCTGAAGAATAGAGGAGCAAGACCTGGAAGGCTTGAGGAGAGGGGCTTGTGAGCAAGCAGGTAGGGGGTAGGAGGGAGACGAGGGACATTTGTCTCCTAGACTATGGAGTCAGGGTTGGGGAGCACCTGGAAATGGGGCTTTCAGTGTCCAGCAACTTGACTTGCATAAAAGGTATCTCCTCATGGGACCCTAGAAGGTCATCTGTAAACTTCAACTTGTTAGCTGCCAAGTGCTGAGGTCCTCCTGTGTCCCTTAGGTTCAGTCTGGCCACCATGCTCCCCAGTAGGCCTGGGGAGAACGTAGAGGCCACAGTCTTTTCTCCCAGCTCTGGCTCAGGCTGATGAGATGACTTGAGGCAACAGCCACTGTGTCCCTCCTTCCCTTGGAGTGAACCGAGGAACCTCAGACTTCCTCACAGCCTATCCCAGGAGGGGTCTCTCCCCCAATTTTTCTCTAAACCAAGAGACAACACACAAGAAGCTGAGGCTGAGAACAGTGCACTCTTGGCCATCTTTTTTAAAGCCTCTTTCCCCAGTGTTAGTTCCTGAGGTGCTTGTCCCTAAAGGGAGAGGTAGTGCCAAGCAGCCTGACAGTTGTCCCTGCCCACTCCTAGTAAGAAACTTCAATCAGGTCCTTCTGAGCCCCACTGGGTGGAACTAGGGCAGTCACAGGTACCAAGGAAGGGATGGACTCTGCTTGCCAGCAGAACCAGCACCTTGGAGCCTGGCTGGGCAGGTGTGCCCAATGCCAGGTGGAGGGGCCTGTCTGAGCCCCTCAGGGACCTCTTGCCCCTATGAGCTCAGCTTTTTCCCTAAGCAATGCCTGGGCCAAGATGTGGCTGTTTCCATTTCTGACCTGGGCTTGGGAAATAATCAGGCTGGGTTAGTCAGGCTAGGAGTGTGAGGAGCAGCTGGAGCCCAGCAGGACAGGGGACCAGCAGGGCTGCCTCTGTGTGGACATTGCTTCGCCCAAGGGCGTGGGTGGGGGTGACCAGCAAGTGAGCAGTGCCTTCTGGCCACAAATGGGCGTGTTAGATGAGGGGCGGTGGGCTCCCATCCTGTCCCCTTCTTCTGCGGGACCTCTCCTATTGCTGGCTTTCAAAGGCTGACTTGTTTTTCAAAGCCCAACCCTGAAGCCTGGAGGACAGGGATGGGTCTGTGGGCGCTGGCAGAGGTGACACAGTGGGAGGCAGGAAGAAGGCCCGGCAGAGGACCAGGGCATCCACGTGCATCCCCCAACGCGGGTGCTCCACGTGCACACTCTTGGCTAGGAGCGTTTTCAACCTAAATCAGCACCACTCTTGGATTATTTCTCCCCGGGCGCCGCCTTCGCCTCCTCCTCCGGATCCCAGCGGTGGCGGGGGAGGGGGGGGTGGCTTCTCTACTCCCCGCCTCCCGCCTCCGGGGCCCCTCCCTACTGAGCTGGGTTTGTGGGGCGTCCCCACACCCACCCTGACCTGTAGCAGTCCGCAGTTGAGCCGGCCCACCCCCGAGCGCGCGCGGCTGCTGTCCATGGTGCTGGTGCCGCCCGAGCAGGCCTAGGGGAACGGCGTAGGCCGGTGGGCCCGCGTCCTGGGTGGTGAAATCGCTCTGGTAACAAGGACGGCCTGGCCTTCCTGGGGCCACTAGCAATGCCTTCAGGGGCATTGCTATTCCACGATGATCCCCCTTCCCTACCCTGTGAACTGGGAACTGCTCAGGCAACAGAAGTGTCCCAGCCCTGGGCTGCAGCCCCTCCCCAGATGTGGAATGCTGGCAAGACTTGTCCTGTCTGGAGCTCAGAAGACAGTGGGGGTGTGGTGCTGGGGAGAGCCGGGAATTCCTTCCCGTTTTCCTTCCTCTCTCCCAGGGGCTCCCATCCTCTTCCCCTCAAGTCTGGCCAGATTATGGAAGTGAGCTGCTAGCTTTCTCAGCCCTGTAGCTCCAGAAGTGGGACTCAGCAAAGAAGGAGACATGGGCCATTCTCTTCCTGGGGGTCTGTAAATTCCACAGCCCACCCCAAAAGACTGGGGTAGGAAGGTAGGACCTGTATGTAGGCTCCAGACTCAGTCCCAAGGTCACCTACAGACCAAAGATAATAGTTCCCAGGTCTGGCCATCTCAGAAGTGCCCTCCCCTGTTCTCTTCCAATACCTGTCAGTGAGTCATGCACAGTGTGCAGCTGAAGGAGCAGACACTGTCACCTCCTCAGGCTTCCAGGTGAAACTGAGGCTTAGAGAAGGGAAGTGGTTTGCCAAGACCACACAGCCAGGGCAGGTCCTGGGTCAAGTTCAGGGTTTATGACTCCAGAACTCGTAGGGGTGAGACTCCCAGGTGGTGGAGATGGGGATGGCAGTGGGCACAAGAACTGGGATGGTGGCACTGTGGGCACCCATCCCTTCCCTCCATGGCTGTCTGTGCCCAGTGCTCTCTGCCACTACTAACAGACTGGGAGACCTGGGAAGGGGGACTGTGGGATGAGGGACAATGGGCACTCCCAGGGTGGTCTCAGTCCCACCCCAGGGGAGGATGATCCATGTGATTCCTCAGCCAGCTTCAATCCACTAAAGTGGCCATGACCCCAGGCAAGCAATTCACTAGCCTCAGCTTCTCCTTCTGTATGATGGGTTGTCATTACAGTATTGTCCTCACTGGTTAGACAGAGGATTAAAGAGACAATATGTATATAGGGCTTACCATGCTGGCACCCTGGGAAGAAACCTGTCCTTTCTTTGGGCAACTGCTGAGCCACAGAACCTCCTGTGGGTGTTGAGAGTCTTGGAAGCTGATGTTTGAGTCTCAGACAGGGCACTAGAGCCGCTTCAGAGAACTATATTGGCACCCTGTAGGGGAGGGCCCAGAGACTGCCCCAACCCTCTTTCTTCAGTCCTCCACCTCTGCCTCAGAAGGTACTGACAGTGGGCAAGAGACAAAGGGAGCCATCCACTTCTGCTCTCTCATCTGTAAAATGGAAATCATAGTTGCTAAGTGTTGGAAAGCATCCATGAGCAGGGCAGGATGAGCTCAGTGTGTACAGTAGGTATTCAGTAAGTGTCGTGGCTATGATCAGGCTGTTTCCCATGCTGCACAGTGTCAGAAAAGGAGAGGCATAGTCTCAGATCCTCTCCATCAACTGGCTCTGGGAGAGCCATGGGAAGGGTGCCCAGGGAAGGCAGGGAACCCCACTGCACCTGGCCCTCCTGAGAGGACAGGAGACTCACTCCCTGCTCCTGGCCCCTGTCTGCAGAGCGTGCGAGGAAGATGTCGAGCCCAGGCATCAACGGCGACCCCAAGCCTCCATGCTTGCCTCGAAATGGTCTGGTGAAGCTGCCAGGCCAGCCCAATGGCCTGGGTGCAGCCAGCATCACCAAGGGCACGCCAGCTGCCAAGAACCGCCCCTGCCTGCCACCACCCCCACCTAGCCTCCCACCACCCAACCTGGCCACCCCACTTGCCCGGGCTGTCCTGTCTGGGGGTCCCCCAGCAAGTGGTCCAGCGTCAGCTCTGGTCCCTGGGCCCCCAGAAGAACGGCCACCTCTGGCCACAGATGAGAAGATTCTCAGTGGCCTCTTCTGGTACTTCTCGGCATGCGAGAAGTGCGTGCTGGCTCAGGTGTGTAAGGCCTGGCGGCGTGTGCTTTACCAGCCCAAGTTCTGGGCAGGCCTCACACCAGTGCTGCATGCCAAGGAGCTCTACAACGTGCTGCCAGGTGGTGAGAAGGAGTTCGTGAACCTGCAGGGCTTTGCTGCAAGAGGCTTTGAGGGCTTCTGCTTGGTTGGCGTCTCTGACCTGGACATCTGTGAGTTCATCGACAACTATGCGCTCTCCAAGAAGGGTGTCAAGGCCATGAGCCTTAAGCGCTCCACCATCACTGATGCTGGCCTAGAGGTGTGCCCCTCAGCTGGCCGGGTGTGGACAGGGTGGAGGTGGGGGACAAGGCCAAGAAGCAGCAATGTGTGGGTGTGGGAGTGCATGCCCCCCCCCCCGAGGAAGTTCAGGCACAAAGAGCACAGTGGCTGAAAGTGGTGGTGGTGCCCTGAGTGTGACTGTGGTTGGGAGATAGTACAAAGTAAAAATGTGGGTCCTTTGTTCAAAAATGATTATGAATTTTAAGACGGAGAAAGCAGAGCAGTCAATTAAACTTGGGGCCCTTTCTGCCAAAGAAGCTGGTTTGGGTGGGAGGATGTTGGGGGCAGGTAAGGGGCAGCTGTGGAAGAGTACCCCAGGAACAAAGATCAGAGGAGTAGCAGGACAGCAAGCCCCACCTCCAGGATCTGGACTTCAGTTATAACATTCAGACTAACTGCTCTGAGCACCTGCTATGGCCAGGCCTGGGCTCCCTGTCCTCTGTGCCATGCCGTTTCTTTTGAAATGTGGACGTGTAAGAAACACATTAAAGGGTTAGGGTTAGCCCTGCCCCTCTGAGCTGGGCTTGATGTATGTTTGCCCACGTAAGAGAGACTACCACATCCTCCCTCCTACCAGTTTCTTCTACCCCATACTCTGCCAAGAGAGTCACAGTCAGGCAGAGGACTGAGGCTAGGAATCCCCTGACCCTGGGTGTGTACATGGCAGGTTATGCTGGAGCAGATGCAGGGTGTGGTGCGTCTGGAGCTGTCAGGTTGCAACGACTTCACTGAGGCAGGGCTGTGGTCCAGCCTCAGCGCCCGCATCACTTCACTGAGCGTGAGTGACTGCATCAATGTGGCGGACGATGCCATCGCGGCCATCTCACAGCTGCTGCCCAACCTGGCTGAGCTGAGCCTGCAGGCCTACCATGTTACGGACACGGCACTGGCCTACTTCACAGCGCGCCAGGGCCACAGCACCCACACACTGCGCCTGCTCTCCTGCTGGGAGATCACCAACCATGGTGTGGTCAATGTGGTACACAGCTTGCCCAACCTCACCTCGTTAAGCCTCTCAGGCTGCTCCAAGGTCACAGACGATGGCGTTGAGCTCGTGGCCGAGAACCTGCGCAAACTGCGCAGCCTCGACCTCTCGTGGTGTCCACGCATCACAGACATGGCGCTAGAGTACGTGGCCTGCGATCTTCACCGCCTAGAGGAGCTTGTGCTGGACAGGTGCGGCTGGGCCACAGTGGCCCAGGTCATTGTACCATGGGGGCAGGGCGGGGGTTACTATGGGCAGCTCTATCACAAAGGTGGGACTGAGCCCTTGTAAGCAGGGCAGCCGAAGAGTGGGCAGAAACACAGCACAGGTTAGCTGAATTGGTCCTTTGGATACAAGGACTGGGAACTATTATGGGTAGGGCAGGAGGAGAGTTCACACCAGGAGCACCCACGGGAAAGGGAGGTAAGGGGCTGGACCTCAGGGGTGGAGGGAGATGACTTGAAGGCGGTTGGTCCCCCTCTGGTGCAACCACAGGTGTGTACGCATCACGGACACTGGCCTCAGCTACTTGTCCACCATGTCGTCCCTCCGCAGCCTCTACCTGCGATGGTGCTGCCAGGTACTGGCCCTCCATGCCTCTAGGAATTGGGGAATAGATGGGGAGGTGGGGTCGTCCTTAAAATCTGCTGACCTGCTCCCAGCCCCATCAGTACCCCTCTTTGCATCCAGCATTTGAACTAAGCGGAATTGACAGGGTCCCCAGGGTCTAAAACACCCCCCACCCCCGGTTTTGAATTCTGCTTCCCTATCCTGCAGCTCAGGCCAATGGCCTGACCCCAGGTTTGTTTCCCCTAGGGGAAGTTAACTTAGGAAATAGTTAACTCGCCTCCCCCTCCCGCCCAGGTGCAGGACTTCGGGCTGAAGCACCTCCTGGCCATGAGGAGTTTGCGTCTCTTGTCCCTGGCAGGTGAGACCCCTGACTTCCACCTGGACAATGACCACCAACTCCCACCTAGTCTGACTCTCCCAGCCCTGTCCGGTCCTTGCGCACGCAGGTTCACCCCGGGCGCTGACTCACTGTGTTGGAGTCCAAGTAGAGGAGGCAGATGCTGGGCAAGCTCTCCCACCGCCCCCAGCCCGGCACCTCCCCAACATTCCCCGCCACCAGCTGTCTGGCGGCGCCCCTGAGTGCCTCCTGGCCTCCCGCCCGCGCAGGCTGCCCGCTGTTGACCACCACGGGGCTGTCAGGCCTGGTGCAGCTGCAGGAGCTGGAGGAGCTGGAGCTGACCAACTGCCCTGGAGCCACCCCCGAGCTCTTCAAGTACTTCTCGCAGCATTTGCCCCGCTGCCTGGTCATCGAGTAGCGCGGAGCTCCCCGCCCCGGAACCGGGAACCCAGCCATGCTCTGGGCGGGACGTGAGGCGTCGCGTAGCCCTCTCTTCACCCCGGCTCTGCCCCCACGTCCCAAACCTAGTTCGGGAGGCGGGGCGAACTGAAGGAAGCCCCGCCCCGCACCCCTCCGCTCCTCCCGGCCCTTCCTGGGCAGAGGGGCGGGGGTCAGCCCACGCACGCACGCACACTCGGGGACCCAGTGCATGACCCTCGTGCCCGCACTGCACGCCGCCCTCCGCCCAGCTACAGCCGCCGTCATCACTCGCCCTCCCGCGGGGGGCGGGGCTCGGTTCTTAGGGGCGCCTCGAGCTCTCCGGACAACCGCCCTTTCCGCTTTCCCCGCCACAGCCCTCTCTATCACCCCACTGTCTCCTAACTCTGGCACGGTCCAGGGGGATCATGGGGGGCTGGGTTCCCCCCGGACACAGGGCCCGGAAAAGCCACAAGGGCTTCCCGCATCTTCCACTGAACCGCGCCTGGAGCCCTCTGAGGGGTGTGAGGGGAAACAGGCCACCGCCAAAGCCATGGCCCACCTAGGAGCCCAGGTCCAACCCGCACCCTCCCCCACCGTTCTTCCCTGCCGCTGTGTGGTGCAGTCCCCTATCGCTGCCCTCCTCCCCTCCCAGCCTACAGGCCGTTGGACCCTGGCCCGGCTGGGACGCTGTTGTGTCGGGAGAAGGGCAGACTGGCTGACCATTACCTTGGAAAAATCAACATTAGCCCATCTGGCTCCAGTCCATTTCAACCCAGGAGAGGTAGAGACACAGGCATATTGAGAGACCCCAAGCTGGAGCCACCCTCAGGACTGTCAGGGAGGGCTTGGAGAAAGCCTGGTCCAAACCCCACACCGCACCCCCTCAACTACCTGGGCTCAGGCCTTAGCACATGCTTTACTCTAGGCAGGTCTCCTCAGGTGGAATCTGCAGAAATGGGCCTGGCCAAGGTTCAGGGTGAGAACTGACCAGCAACTCCAATTTTCAGCGGCCAGCACACCCTAGACCACCCCGAGGAGGGAGGGCTCCTTGCTAGCCTGCCCACATCACCCCTCCCCAGCTCCCCAAACCTCTGCCTGCCCAAATGGGTTCTGACCGTGTTCTGTCTGGTCCCAAAACATTTGGAAGTCCTGGGGGATGGTGCCACATTTTGGCAATTGCTGAGCAGGGGGCGGGGACCCCTTTCCATACCAACCTTGAGCCCCAGGAGATACAGCATCCACATCTAATCTTGGGACACCCCCTATCTGGTTGGAAGAGAGTAACCAATTTCCAGAGAGCCAGAGAGTGAGAGAGGAAGAGAGAGAGAGTGTGTAAGCAAGAGTGAGAGAGAGATGCTGTTGAAGCAAAGAAACACTTCAACAGCCCAAAGATTTTCCTGCCCCTGGAGTGGCCCTAAGAAGCTCCAGGGCTGAAATGGTCAGGAGCCAGTTCTTCAGCCCCTCCTCCCCACAGCCCCCTATGTGGGGAGAGAGCAGCTGTCCATTTGCCCAAAGTATTAATGCATCTGAAGCTGTGATATTTCAAACAAAGGAGGAAAAATTAAGGGGAGAGAGAGGAAAAAAAACAAAACCAACCAACCCCTAAAATCATTTTGTTATTGTACATAACGACCTCATTCTCCTGTATATGCCGAAGATATAACCTTATATTTGGTAAGTGTTTCTTGTGCTATTTTATCACGTGACCTGTTTATAAAAATATATATTAAAAAGTTGTAAAAACATGTGTCTGTGTTGTGTTTAGGTTATTAGACCCTGGCTCAGGAGGGTGAATCTTCCCTGGCAGCCCAGGTCTCTGAAATTTTCCTGTATCTTTCAATTCATCTGATTTATTTATTTTTGAGACAGAGTCTCATTTTGTTACCCTGAGTAGAGTGTTGTGGCATCTACATAGCTCACAGCAACCTCAAACTCCTGGGCTCAAGTGATTCACTTGCCTCAGCCTCCCAAGTAGCTGGTACTACAGGCAGCATGCCACAATACCCAGCTATTTTTTAGAGAGGAGGCCTCATTCTTGCTCAGGCTGGTCTTGAATTTGTGAGCTCAAGTAATCCACCCGCCTTGGCCTCCCAGAGTGCTAGGATTACAGGTGTGAGCCACTGTGCCAGGCCCAGATTTATTCTTGTAACAAATACGGAGAGGCTGCATGCTATTTATTGTACCATATGGAAATTCAGCAGTGGCCAACACAGAAGGCCCCTAACCTCCCATTGCTTAAAGAGGGAGAAATGACATTAAAGTCACTACACATAATATTCTCACAAAGTATCTAGGATCTAGCCTGTCTTTCTGGAAAGGCAGAAATGAGGCCTGTTTTATGCACAGGGTAACAAGCTAAGAGAAGGACAAAGATGTCACACAGTGCACCAACACCCAGAAGAGAAAAGGAGTCTGAATGAGGGCCACTGATGAGTGTGTCAGACACGTGAAGTTCTATGGGAACCAAGACAGATGCAACCCCTGCCCTGGGCAAATTTACATACCTAAGTGACAATCAGTAAACAAAGGAATAGGTTGTGACAAGTGCTGTGAAGGCCACAAGGATGGAGAAGCCACGTTAGGGTCAGTGGCCAGGGAATATCTCTCTGGAGAAGGCATTTAATCTAAGCCCTGAAGGGTGAGATGGACATGTGTTCCAGAAAAGAGAGAAAGCATAGCACATGCAATGTCCATGAAGTGGGCTGGAAAGAGAGGCAAGCTGTGGCGGATGAGACACAGGGAGAAAGGAAGAGCATAACTGGAGGGGTGCAGGGAAAGGCAGAGGCCAGGTGTCTGGGATTTATTTACAGTGCAGTGGGGAGCTATGGGAGGCCTTAGGCAAAAGAGTGGATCAGGTTTTTGTGCGAGATTCAGATCAGAGGGGGCCGATGGGACCCAGAAGAGCAGCTAGGAGACTGCTCTTGAGGTCCAGGAGGGAGGAAGGACGTGGAGACTGAGGCATCTGAACTTGTTTAAGAATGATCAGACTTGTTGGAGGTTGCTGTGAGCTGTCATGCCATGGCACTCTACCCAGGGGGATAGCTTGAGGCTCTGTCTCAAAAAAAAAAAAAAAAAAGAATGACCAGACTTACAGACAGGCCTGGGGGGGGGGGGCAGGAATAAGCACTGGTTTCAAAATACTAAGATTAGGCTGGGGGCTCACGCCTGTAATCCTTACATTCTGGGAGGCCAAGGCAGGTGGATCCTTTGAGCTCAGAAATTCAAGACAATTTTTTTTTTTGAGACAGAGTCTCATTTTGTCACCCTTGGTAAAGTGCCAAAGTGTCATTATAGTTCACAGCAACCTCAAACTCTTGGGCTCAAGCGATTCTCTTGCCCCAGTTTTTCATTTTTAGTAGAGATGGGGTTTCACTTTTGCTCGGGCTGTTTTTGTTTGTTTTCTTTTTTTTTTAGAGACAGAGTCTCACTTTTATCGCCCTTGGTAGAGTGCTGTGGCATCACAGCTCACAGCAACCTCCAGCTCTTGGGCTTAAGCAATTCTCTTACCTCAGCCTCCCGAGTAGCTGGGACCACAGGCACCCGCCACAACGCCCGGCTACTTTCTATTGCACTTCGGCCGAGACCGGGTTTGAATCCGCCACCCTCGGTATATGGGGCCAGCGCCCTACTCACTGAGCCACAGGCGCCGCCCCTGTTTTTGTTTTTGAGACAGGGTCTCATTTTTTCGCCCTGGGTAGAGTGCCGTTGCATCACAGCGCAGAGCAACCTCAAACTCCTGGGCTCAAGTGATTCTCTTGCCTCAGCCTCAGGAGTAGCTGGGACTGCAGGCGCCTGCCACAACGTCCAGCTATTTTTAGAGATGGGGGTCTAGCTCTGGCTCAGGTTGGTCTCAAACCCATGAGCTCGGGCAATCCACCCACCTCGGTCTCCCGGAGGGCTAGGATTACAGGCGTGAGCCACCGCGCCCGGCCACTCAGGCTGTTCTTGAACTCCTGAGCTCAAGCAATCCATCAGCCGTGGCCTCCCAGAGTGCTAGGTTTACAGCACTTGGCCAAAAATACTGGGATTAAAAAACATACAACCCTCCCACCCTCCTCCCAGGCCAGCGCTGGGAGCGGTGCCACATACCTGCAGTCAGAGCTACTGGAGAGGCGGAGGAAGCGGGGTCCCTGAGCTTAGGATTTTGAGGCGAGCCTGGAGGCTACACAGCGAGACCCCTCCTCTTAAAAAAACAGCCCACCAACCCAAAATACACACACAGAGAGAAGTCGGACACCCTACTACACACGCGCGCGCGCGCCTAACTGAACCGGAACTTATGTGGTATGGACGAGAGTTCTCACTCGCTTCCGGCCAGGGGCGAGCATGAAACGGACCACTTCCGGCGAGGGGCGGGAGAAACAGGCTGCTTCCGGCGCGACGATTCCAGACCGCCATGCACCTTTGGTAGCTGACTGGAATATCTGTGGAAAGGTTTTCTGTACCCCCTCTTCCTGGTCCTGCAGCGTCCGCTCTCCTCGCGGCACAGGAACCTCTGCGACGCTCCCAACAACCGTGTACTCCGTGTCGCCGCCTTTTCCCCCGCCTTTAGCCCTTCCAAACACCTCAAACTCCCTAAACAGTTTGGTTCTTGAAGTCTCTCTGTGCCCCTCGCGCCTCTAGCCCTCTGCCCTCCTTTGTTCCTTCTCAGAGCCCCGCCGCCCCTGGAGGTCCCCTTTGCTTCCCTGCTGGGATTGACTGACCGAGGTTTCGGTTACTACTCAGTCTGACTGATAAGGGGGACAGAGAAGTGACCTGGGCCGGGACTGACCAAGTAGTTGTCTTCCATGGAAGTCAGACATGGGACCGACCAGCCTCAAGGTTGCTGTTGAACCTTCTGACCGACCAGTTGGGGTGACAGGGTGGATTGACAGACTCCAGTGAGTTTGAACTTGCCTAACAGACAAACTGGCTGATGGACTGCTCTGGACTAGCTCACCAATACTGACCAGCCCAAGTCCAGGAAGTTCTGCGGGAACCAACCTGGATGAAAGTTCCGAACTGACCACCCACCAGGTTGAGCAGGCCAGCCTACTTCAGTGAGCTCTCACCCCCGTCATTTGTGCAGCCATGGAGAAGAT